CTCTCTCTCTCTCTCTCTCTCTCTCTCTCTCTCTCTCTCTCTCTCTCACCAACATCAGCAAGCCACCGTCAGTCAAAATTCATATTAGTGGTCTGCAGGATTTAAAATTATGAGTTTGGTGGTCCCTGAGGTGCAAAAGTTTGGCGACCCCTGCTCTATATGGTTGTCTGCACCTAACAGGTTCAGATGCCACACAGTTTTTGGAGAAGTTTGTATTTAGCACGCCCATTTCCTGGTCTTGGTCCCGCCAAGGTCCCCATCAAGGTCCCACCAAGTCCTGTGAAGAGATGCAATGACCACAGGCCCATTCACATCTGACCACATCTTCCTCTTCTCCAGAAATGGTATCCGCTTAAAACTAAGGACCCCTCGGCTGCTGTAGATCCCTTACCAGCATCCTGGGACACCCAGAGGACTGCAGAATAGAAATACAGTATTTTATGGAAGACGTTCACCTGATCTTATGCGTAGCCACCTTCCTAACCTGGGGCCTTCCAGATGTATGGGAATGCAACACCCATCACATCTGAATGAGGGGTGAGGGAGGGAGACAGATTGGGGAAGGCTGAATTTCAGGCTTGCGAGAAAACCAGTGGCACCCAAGACATCTTGGGCGCAAGTTGAAAGTTCTCCGAAACTTGCAGCTGTCTGGAGTGAAGACAGGACTCCCGAGTAACTAGCAGCCTGTCTCGAGAGCCCGGGAGACGAGTAAGCAAACCTGGAGCGTGCCTCAATCCTCCCCCCGAAAGGAAACATGGAAACCTGACCACCTCCTTGAGATGGCTCCGAAGCAGCCACCCCCACTCCATCTTTCAAGGCCTAATTAGACAACGAGAGTGCTGGCATCTCCCACCTGTCTCTCCAGCCATCCGTCAGCCATTCGGTCCGGAATGCTTAGCCTTGGACAAAAATGACCCAAGAAAGCGTCCCAAGAAAGCATCCCACGCCTACTCAGGTAGCCAGACGTCTACGAAGAGTCTCATCCAGGTCGTGGTTGAACCCCAAAGGGTCCTTTTTCAAAAGGCAACTGGACATTCTTGATTTTCCTTTGGAGACATTTGGAGAAGCGAAACGTCTTCAAGGAAAAACAAAGGAAGTCCAGTTGCCTTTTGAAAAAGGACCCCTTGGGAAAACTAGGCAGCCACTTCTGAAATTTATCTCCTGTCAGTTTAATCTCACTTTTTCCCTGCCTTGCCTTCAGGAAGGCCTGTGAACCTCTAGAAATCTCCTTTTTCCAGGCTCCATCACCACAAACATTCCTCCACAGATCTTCCTTCCAGAATCCTGAATATTCCTAGGTAAAGGTTTCAGGGTAACGATTTGTGTCGGTCAACCGGAACCAGAGGTTTCGTCTTCCAAGCTTTCAGATTCATGCTGGAGCCCATCCTCAGGGAAACGCCTCTCTATCAGCATGTCTGCTTTGGGTTATTCTTTGCATTGTATTTACGGGGTGCCCGGTTGCGTGTGGCTTCGTTGTTTGTAGGTTGTTGGCCTTGCGTGCGGTGAAGGAGTCCCAAAGCCAAACCGATCGAAGCGTTTAGCCACCCATCTCTCTCACGAAAGAAGCCAAATTTTATACACGCTCCGGGAAAACGTTGCAGGATCCAATCTGGCTTGGAAAAGGGAATCACACAATTCCCAGGTCCCTGCAACCGTCATAAGTACATGCCAGTTGCCAAGGGCCTGAATTTTGATCATGTGACCAAGGAGAGGCTACAACGGTTGCGTGAAAAATGACTGCATCCAGTGTTGGTTGCCACGATGTAAAAAGGATGTTGAGACTCTAGAAAGAGAGCAGAGAAGAGCAACAAAGATGATTAGGGGACAGGAGGCTAAAACCTACGGACGGACGGTGGCTGGAATGGGGCTTTGTCTAGTTTGATGAAAAGAAGGACTAGGAGAGACATGATAGCAGTGGTCCAACATCTCAAAGGTTGCCCCAAAGAAAAGGGAGTCAAGCTATTCCCCAAAGCCCCTGAGGGCAGGACAAGAAGCAACAGGTGGAAACTGATCAAGGAGAGAAGCAACTAAGAACGAAGGAGAAATTTCCTGACAATTAGAACAACTAACCAGTGGAACAACTTGCCTCCAGAGGTTGTAAATGCTTCAACACTGGAAGTTTTTAAGAAGAGATTGGACAACCATTTGTCTGAAGTGGTATAGGGTTTCCTGCCTAGGCAGGGGGTTGGACTAGAAGACCTCCAAGGTCCCTTCCAGCTCTGTTATTCTATTTCCATTTCTAAACATGGTAGTAAGTTACTTTCCCCCCCAGTCATTTCAATTTAGAGAAGTGGCTGCCCATTTACCGAAATGGCTGCAAATCTCCACCCGGTGAGAATCCGAAAAGGAAGATTTCCAGTTGGGATCAGAGAGACTTTCAGATCTGACCTTGTAAGAAGGGCTCTGGACTCTCAGGAAATGTTAAACACCCCCCCCCCACACACACACACCAAGCAACTGGTGCTGAAATATGCATTTTTAGCCTCGTCTCCGGAGCAGGCTGAGCACAACCGTGGTCTCTCAGCTGCCATCCTTCCATCCATCCCCACTTCAGGCCAACTTCCCCAGCCCACTTGGGGGAGACCATGGCTGATTGGCACCTGGTTAGGCTGCACTCAGCTGTCCCTGATATTTGACACACAGACACTCTCTCCCTCACACACATACATCCACACCCCTCCTTCCTGCCAAACCAAAAAAAACCATCGGCCCTGGGAAAGGGAAATAAACACGCAAGGGAAAGAGGGGTGAGGGGGTGAAAGGGAAAAAGAAGTCATATTTCCAGAGTAAAAGAGACCCTTAGGACGTTGCCAGTGTCTTTTTGGCAGAGGGATATCCTGCAGCCAGATCTTGAGGTAGATCTGCTGGGAAGAAAGTGGCCCTCTTGAAAAAGGGTTATGTGAAGAGGACCTCCTTGCTGGAGATTTTAGAACTGGATAAACACCTAAAGTTCTCCTGAGAGAGAGTTATCTAGCCTGGACCGTTTCTTCTTTTGTAAAAGGGAGTCCTTCAAGATTACCACCATATTTTATTTTCCCTTCCTCTTGAGCCTTTTCCCATCGGTCCACCCCGGGATTTTCCGCCAGGAAGGCCCTTTGCAACGCGTGGCACACAGGGCAACCTTCTCTTCCTCCTCCTCAACTCCAAACTGGAACGAGAGCTTGGTTTTTTTTCCGCGTCTTTGGGAACTATGTCAACGTTGTTGGAAGCCTCCGATGGAAATGCGAAGGGGGTACAACCACAAACTCTCTCGGGAACAACCGGCGTGGAAAGCGGTGGTAAGGCATGGGGTTTTGGGGGGAAAAAATTCAGGTTGGTTTGGGGATCTTGCAAACCATTGACATGGGAGGGGGCTACTTTTGAGAATGTGCAACCCTCTCCCCACTTTAGATAGATAAACCATATCCTGTAATCATGGTAAGTCAAATCGGACTAAAGAATCCAAGACTTGCTGGAAAACGCTCCCGTCATCCATGATGTATGGCTAATGCTTACACTGTCCTAGCGTTGCCTCGGGTCAAACAAGTTTAGCTCCTTCCTTGATCCCATCTTTCTGCCACCACAACATTAACATTGTTTTAAAATGCAGATGGAATAGAATAGAATTCTTTTATTGGCCAAGTGTGATTGGACACACAAGGAATTTGTCTTGGTGCAAATGCTCTCAGTGTACATTAAAGAAAAGATATATTCATCAAGAATCATCAGGGACAACACTTAATGATAGTCATACGGTACAATAAGAATAGAATAGAATATAATAGAATTCTTTATTGGCCAAGTGTGATTGGACACACAAGGAATTTGTCTTGGTGCAAATACTCTCAGTGTACATAAAAAGAAAAGATACATTCATCAAGAGTCAAGAATCATCAGGGACAACACTGAATGATAGTCATCGGGTACAATAAGCAATCAAATCATACTAGGAAACTGTCAATATAAATCGTAAGGATACAAGTGACAAAGTTACAGTCATACAGTCACAAGTGGGAGGGGATGGGTGATAAGGAGCGATGAGAAGATTATTAGTAATAGTAGTGCAGAGTTTGTAAATAGTTGGACGGTGTTGAGGAAATTATTTGTTTAGCAGAGGGATGGCATTTGGGAAAAAACTGTCCTTGTGTCTAGTTGTTCTGGTGTGCAGGGCTCTATAGTGTGCATTGCTATATGGAAGGGGAAATGCTTTTCTTCACCTAGCATAATATGCTCAAAGTGTAAGACGAGGTCCCAATGTATGTAGATTTAGGGAACCAGAGTCAGGAAGTGTTTCTTATGGAAGGAAAGAAAGGAAAGTTCACCAAACATTCAAGTGTTGGAGGGCCTGTGGTAATCCTCAGTAAGAAAGGGGTGACCGCTTAAAATATTAATTGCAAGATTTCGGCAGTTTCGTCAAGTCTCACAATTCCTGGAGATCTTTAATGCTGAACTGACTAGCTTCTTCTGTGTCTGCAAAACTTCCCTGAACTTGTTTACTTCAGGGAAGAAAAGCTGCCCGCTGTTCTTGAGTCCCATTTTGATAATTTTCGGGATTCAGCAGAAGAAAAATGCCTATGTAAGGGTTATGCCATTCAGGGGAATGGGGAAAATATTATATTATGTTTCCATTCCGTGCGCAATAGGATTATACTTGCTATTTTGCCATTTGCTGTTTTGGTGTTTTAAAAAATAATATAGAAGAAGCAACCATTCTGCCTTGGTCTCCTTGGTCCCTCTATTTCCCTACGTCCCTAATATTTCTGCCATGCTCTCTACTGATGAAAACAACTTTTTAAAAAATCCCACTTGCCCGCAGATTGATTCTCCTTCATATGTGTGTTTAAAGAGTCTTTCCTGGTGGTTGAGTTGAAACGGTTCACAGAGCAGCGTACAAAGCAACGTCGACAACCAAAGAAGATAACCCAAACAGCTGACTCCAAAGTGGAGGGAGGAGGAAAAATGAGAATATTGTTGCAAAGTAAAACTAAGATAGGACAGAAGAGAATATTTGCAACTCAGCGTTGAAATGAGGGGTCCTTGGTGCTCTTGGAGTTTGGTGGATTTTCTTTCAGACGTTTCATGACCAAACCTGGTAACACCATCAGTGCTAGAAGGGAGTGGGGTTTGTGAGGAGGAGGAGGAGGAGGAGGAGGAGGAGGAGGAGGAGGAGGAGTGGCCATTGTAGGGTCCTTGGTGTTCTCTGAGCTTGGTGGTTTTCTTGCAGATGTTTCATGACCAAACTAGGTAACATCATCAGTGCAATGCCTGGCTGGGATGAAAAGAGTTAGGGAGAAGGGGAACCAAGAGGAGCTGCTCTCTCCGCAGAGACCACCGTGGGGTTGCTTCTCATTCCCAGCAACAACCGGATGGTGTGGGATTGTATTGCTTTGCTGCACAGGTAGTCCTTGACTTACGATTGGCGGCTTAGTGACCGCTCAGAGAGATCAGGAAAGCTCTCTGGTGTCCAGGGCCCGCGTCAACCCTGAAGCTGGCTTGACCAAGGCCATCTTGGAGGCTTCAGTGCTGCCACCCTGGAGCTGAGGGATAGGGAGGGGGAGTAGAGGTGGGGTTTTGTAGGCAAAACCAAATAGTTTGTCTTGGGAACCAAGGACATCCCCACAGGGGGCTGAAGAGAGGAGGAGTGAAGTTTCCAAGCAACCAGCCAGCACCTTGATTGGACCATGTGACTGATTGTTTGGGGAATTGGGGGAAACTTTTACTTTTTTTTAAAAAAATCATTTTATATCTTATTTATTGTACTGCATTTCTGTTACGTCTTAAATTCTATTTTACGTTTTATAGACTTCCTTTCCTATCCCTCCATACATAAAAATTGTCCCATACTTTATAACGTTCTGATGTGTCCCGTTCTTTCAATTCTAATGTCAAACTGGTTCGGCGCATTGAAAAACCTTATCTATTATTGCTTCGTCATTTGGAATTTCTTTTAACTTCTAAGTTTGGGCAAGCGAGACTCTCGCTGCCGTAATTGACACGAATAACTAGGTAACTTTTACTTTTAATTCAATGAAAATCGCAGAGACATTGAATTGGTTTTCACCAGTCCGTGCCAATAGGATACATCTAATGAACTTGCTCGTTGAGGAACCTGCTTGACTCAAGAGTTCTGTTTGCGACCGGCGTATTCCTTGATGATATTCTTCTGTCCTCCTCCTCCTCCTCCTCTCCAGGAGAAAATGGCGAGACCTCTCGGGGCAAATCTTCGGATTCCAGCGGTGAAGAGGAAGCCAGCACGGGTCAAAAGAAGCCTCGCAGGCACAGGACCCATTTCACCAGCCAGCAGCTGCAGGAGCTGGAGGCGACTTTTCAGCGAAACCGCTACCCGGACATGAGCACAAGAGAAGAGATAGCAGGCTGGACCAATCTGACGGAGCCGAGGATAAGGGTGAGGGTCCCGGTGGAAAGAGGCGATGGGGAGGCGGGGAAACAAGGGAAACGGCTCCTCAAATTAGCTCAGCCACACCAGGGATGAATCCTGGAAGAAGGGAGTGGCCTGAAAGCCAAACCTTGGCAAGATGAGCCACGGTGGCGGCAGTGGTGAGAGTGCGGTATTGCAGGCTGCTTCTGCTGACTGCCGGCTGACTGCAATTTGGCAGTTCGATTCTCATCAGGCTCCAGGTTGACTCAGCCTTCCTTCTTTCTGAGGTGGGTAAAATGAGGATCCAGATTGTTGGGGGCAAGAGGCTGACTCTGTAAACTACTTAGGGAGGGCTGTAAAAGCACTGTGAAGCAGTATATAAGTCTAAGTGCTATTGCCCTTCCTTCCTTCCTTCCTTCCTTCCTTCCTTCCTTCCTTCCTTCCT